ATGATATGAAACATGAAGGTATGACTGACACGGAATGGAGAAAAATTGATTTAAAGGCAAGAAATATTATAGTGAATAGCGTAAATAATACTCAGCTCGATATAATAATGAATGAAAGTACGGCTTACCAAATGATTAAAAAATTGGACGAGATGTATTTAGTAAAAGGCAGTGCTAATAAATTATTAATTAAAAGGAAAGTACTAGAAACAAAATTCAAAGATAGCGACGATATACTAGAATTCATACAAACATTTGAAAAACAAATCAATGAATTGAAAAATGCTGGAGAAGTCGTGTCGGAAGAGGATAGACTGAACTATTTATTGCTTGCATTACCTGAGAGTTTTGCACATATTGTAAATATTGTTGATGCGATGCCGACAAAGGATCGGACAGTGGAGTACGTGAAGTCCAAATTACTACTTGAAATGAAAAGAAAACAGAACGAACAAGAAGCTCATACGTTCAGTTCTCGATCAAATCAACACCAAGATGGGTCCAGGAATAATGATAACTGCTTTGAATGCAACCGCCTAGGACACTACAGGAGGGATTGTCCTAAGTTAGCACGTCGTGGTCATGGTCGTGGTAGAGGACGCGGATATGGAGGCGGACGACGAGGAACTCACAGAGGATATAGAGGAGGATACAACAATAGAAGCGTGAATACAGGACAAAGTAGCAGCACCAGTGATGGATTTGGATTCAACGTAGAAGTAGAAGCGATGACAGGAGCTACCGAAACGAAAGCGGATATAACATGGTTATTGGACAGCGGATGTAGCGATCACATCGTAAATGACGATAAATTCTTTCGTGATTATAAAATTTTAGAAACACCTGTGAATATTAAGGTAGGTGATGGATTTTGTCTTAAGTCGGAGAAAATAGGAAATGTAACAATGTACTGTAAAGCAGGAGGTAAGTCAAATAAAATTGATGTTTCAAATGTATATTATGTTCCAAATATGAAAAAGAACTTATTAAGCGTTTCATGCATTGTAAATAGAAATAATACAATTCAATTTAGAGGAGAAATAGCAAATATATATAATGTACATATAGGTTTAATGGCCGTCGCACGCAAGAAAAATAAATTGTACGAATTAGATGGCAGAGTTAATTTAGGTGCAGGTACAGTAGCATACACAAGTGGTAACATTATGTCAGAAAAAGAAAAATGGCACAGAATACTTGGGCACCCTAACTTTAAGAAACTAAATGAAATGTGCAGGCATAGGGTTGTAGATGGGTTACCTATCACTTTAGGCGAGGGTTACGTGCAATGTGAAGTTTGTTTGATGAACAAAATGACAAATCTACCTTTTGGAAATCAAAGACGACGGGCAACAGACTTGTTAGAGATTATCCACACGGATGTGGCAGGCCCGATTACGCCCACTGGATATAAGGGGCAACGATACTTTGTGTCATTCATAGATGACTATAGTAGGTTAGCTTATCTATGCTTAATTAATAACAAGAGTGATGTTTTGAATTGTTTTAGAGATTATGTAAATATGGTGGAAAATCAAACAGGTAAGAGAGTGAAAGAAATCAGATGTGACAATGGCGGAGAATATATTAACAACGATTTCTACACTTACACAAAGCAAAAAGGTATTTATTTAAAACCAGGGCCAGCTTATACACACGAGTTGAACGGTGTAGCTGAAAGATTTAACCGAACCATAATGGAGAGAGCGAGATGTCTGCTTACAGAAGCAAAGATAAATAAGAAATATTGGCCTGAATGCGTAATGACTGCAGCATATCTAGGTAATAGAATATTAACAAATACGTATGAGAAAAAAACGCCGTACGAAATTTTTATGGGGAGGAAGCCAAATGTAAGTAATTTAAAAATTTTCGGATCACAGTGTTATGTACGAATTCCAGACGAATTACGCACATCAAAACTTAACCCAAAGGCTACAAAAGGTATATTAGTAGGATACACAGAGACGGGATACAGAGTATTAATAAATGAAAAAATAGTCATTAGTCGTCACGTTACATTTATAGGTACGAAAGAAGAACACATAATAAAGATAGTAAATACTGAAGATGAAACTGATGAAAACGAAGAATTTTATGATAGTGTTGATGACTCAAAGGAAAAATCAAGTAGAGCTGTGACTGAGGAGGTGACGGATATCCGACCAAAAAGAGAAAGGAAAATGCCAGAGAAATATAAAGATCATGTTGTATATATAAATTTTAGTGATGCACTGGTACCAGATACGTATGATGAAGCAATAAAAAGTCCGGATGTAAATAAATGGAAAGATGCAATGAAAGAGGAATTGAACAGTTTGGAAAAGAACGAAACGTGGATTTTAGTTGAGAGACCTGAAAATAAGAAAATAATAGATGTTAAATGGATCTTTAGGATCAAGTCGAATGGAAAGTATAAGGCAAGAGTAGTCGCACGAGGTTTCCAACAGATGTATGAAGAAAACGAGGAAATTTATTCACCAGTAGCGCGAATGACGACAATGAAAGCTTTATTATCAATTGCATGTGTAAGAGGATGGAACATTGAACAAATGGACGTTGAGACAGCATTCTTGAATGGGAGTATTAAGTCTGAAGTTTATATTTACCCACCTGATGGATATTGTACAGAGAATAATAAAGTGTGCAAACTACAAAAAGCTCTTTATGGATTGCGAGAAAGCCCACGTGATTGGTATGAATGCTTTCACGAATTCATGTCAAGCATTAATTTCAATAGGTCAGACTATGACTATTGTTTGTATACAGGGTGTGTAAATAATGTAAATATATATCTATGTCTGTATGTGGATGATATTTTGATTTGTGGGGAGAAAAATGAGGCAATTGACAAAGTTAAAAGGCTATTGAACAATAGATTCCGAATGAAAGATCTGGGCAAAGTAAAACAGTATCTTGGAATAGATGTAGTTTTTGAACCAAAAGAAGGCAGAATGACTTTAAGCCAGGAAAAATACATTGTAAGTTTAGCTGAAAAGTATAACGTAATCGAATCAAAGAACTTTGAGACACCAATGGAAATGAATTTAAGCATTGAACCAAGTCAAGATGTCAGTGCAACGTTAAAGTATAGAAACTTGATTGGAGCTCTTCTGTATGTTGCGAGTGGAACACGTCCAGACGTATCTTATAGCGTAAACTATTTGAGTCGGTTCCAAAATGCTTATAGTGATACTCATTTCAAATATGCCTTGCGAGTTCTCAAATATCTTTACTGTACGAGACATTTAAAGATGAATTATGACGCCGACTACGAAGAACAATTGGACGCTTATGTAGATGCTGATTGGGCCGCAGATAAATCGGATAGGAAGTCGACGACAGGAATCCTTATAAGAGTTTTTAATAATCCGATCATGTGGAAGTCACATAAACAGAAAATAGTGTCAAGAGCATCAACTCATGCCGAGTATTATGCTTTGGCAGACTGTGTTGAAGAAGTACTTCCGTTAATAGGTGTGTTACGCGATTTAGGCGTTGAGATTAGGGATCCAGTAAAAATTTACGAAGACAACAGCGGGGCTATTGCGTTGTCAAAGAACGGAAAGTTTTGTAAAAATTCTAAGCATATTGACATAAGCTACCACTTCGTATATGACTATGAGAAAAAGGGTATTATTAATATAGTAAAGGTTCATACAGAAAAACAATTAGCGGATATATTGACCAAGGCATTAGGAAAAAATAAATTTATAAAACTTAGAGAACTGGCAAACGTCAAATGAAATGTTAATGACAGATAGTCTTTTGTTAAGTGATTTATTTATTATGTTAAGTTGTTATATTGGTATTAAGTTGTTTTTGTTGTTTTCTATAAAATCAAGGAGGTGTGTTGAAGTTATGATTTTATGTAAAACCTTCTTGTTAGCGCGACTCGATGGCCTGTTCTCTATGTCACCGTTACTTCATTCTAGGACTTTTGCAAATACGTCAACGGTGTATACCTATAAAGTGTAAAATGTGATTGGGACTACATAAACTAAATATTACGAGCTGATTGTCTTTCCTTTCTACGATCCACTTCCTCAACAGCATTAACTCTAAAAACAGGCAACTATCTATTTATCTACATGGTTTATATACCCGAATCTAATACATAATTTCGTTACTTGCTTTGATTTCCCTAGTTTGCTATATAACTTATTTGTTTTTTATTATTTTAACTATTTGCAAACCACCTCAAAATCATTCAGTGTATATGGTTTATAGAAGTTCTCAGGGGTGTCCGTCAATAATATTCGATTCTACAGTAATTTATACATAATTTCGAATCTAGGAAACAATATTTCATGATTATTGGTCTTTAGGCCAAACATGTATGGAAGCTGTGGTATTAATATCCACAAGTATATTATCATTTTTACTACATGCAAATGTGCTAAGACAAATATTATAGATCGTAGGCGACATCATAAAGTCTATTGCCATTACATTTTTCAACACCTCCATAAACACATTATAAGGTATGATACACTAAAAATCTAAAATATGGTTATAATATAAACATACCAAAAATAATAAGCTTTCTTTAGTTAACGAGAGTTCAAAAGTTCTCTCTAATCTGTGGCTCATTCACAAATAACCAACAAATAACACATAGTTTCTGTCACAGAGTACCTTATTATAACCGGAAATGCATAGATGATACCTGATTTTAAAAATTACTCTCATGCATTAACTCTAAAAACAGGCAACTATCTATTTATCTACATGGTTTATATACCCGAACCTTGGTTTGATTTCCCTAGTTTGCTATATAACTTATTTGTTTTTTATTATTTTAACTATTTGCAAACCACCTCAAAATCATTCAGTGTATATGGTTTATAGAAGTTCTCAGGGGTGTCCGTCAATAATATTCGATTCTATAGTAATTTATACATAATTTCGAATCTAGGAAACAATTTTTCATGATTAGTCTTTAGGCCAAACATGTATGGAAGCTGAGCAATCTCCTTTAGTAATGCGGACTTTAGTGGGGGTGCTCTGTGATTTTAGTACATTTATTTACAGTCCGTGGCAACCTAAGCAGCCGCTCTCAACAGTCCAAGCGGCGCGAAGCGAAGCGAAAAATGTCGGCCATTCCGGACTTTTAGTTAGAAATGCCATTTTCTCGCTAAATAATGAAGCTAGGACCAAACAAAAAATACTACCGTAAAGCTGATTAAATAAAGAATCTACTACAGAACACTTGGATCTCTGTAACTCGAAAAACGATTAAATAGAGCGGGTTGAACCCAACAAAAAGTCAATTTTTCATAAACTTTTAAAATTAAACGCCTATTTCCTAATGTTAGTTACGAAAATGTCAAAATTAGTTGTTCTCAAAATGCAGGAAATTTAACTACCTTTCTAATGGTATCAATAACTTTTTTTAATTCAGTCTGTATCCTTTTCAGTAAAGCAAAATCTAACATCCTGTCGACTTCTCATCCACCACGGCTTCGGCCATTTCGGGCGACGGAAATATTCACAAGATGGCCGCCGTTCCTAAGGCTCAATACGGACTTTCATGCGTAGTAGTCGAAATGGTTAATTTTAAATAAAATTTTTGTTTTCAATTTTATAGATCTTTTATTTTACATTACTAATAATAATCTCATTATAATAAAATTAAAATAAAACATTATACAAATTTCACACTGCCCACTATATTATTAATGCGAAAGTTTGTATGTTTGTTATTCAAATATATAGACAACATATATATAACCTACCATGGAACCATCTCTTGAGCTCTGGGCTGTTAATAAAGCGACACACACACACACATATATATATGTGTCGACATATCGCTGGCCCCGGGCAATATAGCGGTAAACGCCGGTTACTCCCTTTTTAATGTTATTTGATTTTTGGCTTCTCTGAATATCAATCTATCACTCTTATTTTTTTCAATTTTTTAAAATTAATATTTCTTTAGAATAAATGACAATAACAGCTTTATTGCATGGAAAATTCTCTTACAACTAAAAATGTATTGTTGCATTACTCTATGAAACATAACACAAAGAACCTTTAAACATCTTTAGACTGAATTTCTAAACAAAGAGGAACAGTAATAAATTTAACCGCGTTTTTGGAAATAAACGTATTATATTAATAAATTGTAAACATTTAATACGAAGTAATCACAAGTTATTTTATTCTGTACAAGCCATTACGCCTTTCTTCCCGGAAATTTATTGTATCCTCGGCGCCGTTCTATCGTGTTACGCTGAACGCCATCCCTTTCACTCCTACGCATAAATGATTATCGCATGCTTTCGAGCATCATATTTAGGTAAACAATTGATACAAATAATAACTCAATTCGGCGGGCAGTGTCAGTGCAGCGTGTGACGTCTTGCGCTAATAATGTTCTTTTAGTGCGATTAACTGGTTTTGAATAATAATCTTAAGATCTATAAAACGTGTGTTTTTTTTTAAAATGGCAAGACAATGCCCAGCTAAATCTCGCGCAAGAAGAATGTTATCCATGGTTGACGGTAAGTGGTTAATCAGTAAGATAATTAGATATGGTGGTGGTGGTGGTATGGTATGGTGATATGTTTTGGTGTACAATAAAGTTTTATTCTATTCTATTCTATTCTATGACATTGATTATACCTAATTATTGTTCTTGTAATACCTGCCTACCTACCTACCTACATACACACCTACCTACGTTCATATACCTATCGTCTTGTTTCTATTAGTTGAATATATTTACCACTTTTAAACCACTAATATATCTATCATTACCTACCTACTTACTTACCTACTTAATTTGAAAAAACCTATATTATATACCTATTGTTAGTTATAATTATTAAACTCTACTTTAGTTAAGCAAAACATGTTATTTTTCTAACGCTAGTATGTTTTGATGACATGACATTCCGTATGTGACGTTATGACAATGTTGCCATTTTCTATAATTTAAATATGACTTGTTAGTACGCTGAAACACTTCCGGTGTAGCGGAGTTTGATATCTGAATGATTAATCGATGTAATGTCGATTGATCATTCATATTCAAGGTGGTTGCATAAACGTAGGGTCTATGCCGTTTGGCTGTATGGTGACATTGGCTTTGCGAATCTTATGGGATGGTGTGTGCCCGTCTTTATGAAGTATTGGCTATGATACCGTTCATAGACAAGCTGCATAAAGACGTTAATCTATGAAAAGTGACAGATGTGTGGCGGTGGAGAGTTATAAAAGAGCGCTCCACCTTAGTTTGAGTGACTTTTGCTGCGACCGTCGTCCTAGTTGGTGATTCAATAAAATAGTGAAACCTCTGCAGAGTTGTAATTTATTATAAGGCTAATACTATATAATTATATTAAACTAAAATGATGAGTGTTGTGTGTGTGGGCGTATGTATTTGTGTGTGTGTGTAGTATGTTGTTTCATAGTATTTTGTGTGTACAATGGCAATGTGGTCTCTCCGGCGGTTACATAAGTAAATAAATAATATATTTTGATCGTAAAACGCACAAGTCAAACAAAAGTATAGTAGGTATATAAAGTTATAAAATGAATGTTAAAAATCTTGTCACTGTCTTATGTTGTTTTACGACAGATTTGATATTTTAATAGATAAGTACCCTTTTGTTTTGTTTTAGATGCCATAAATCTTCCCTGTAACGGTGATTTTGAAGATACAAAAAAAGTCACCATTTGGAAGAGTGTGGAAGACGTAAACCTCACTGGAACTCATAGCCCAACTTTACAATGTCTTTCTCCCAATTTCGATTTACAATCACATTTATTGCAATCTCCTTCTACTATTTCATACCAGTCTGCTATATTCGATAATGTTGACTTTGTAGCTTCTCCAACTTTAGTATTTAGCACACCTCGTCACCGGAAGCGTAGATTTGAAGAGAATCGTGACTCTCGCTCTATAGAATATTATAATGTGTGTGAATCGACAGACCTTATAACACTAAGTGACACAACGATGCCACAAGCAACATCGGAACTACAAGTACCAGAAACGTGTGAAACTACACCCCAAGAAGAAAATATACAATATATAACACTGGAAACCGTACGCGAAGAATTTACAATAGACCAAAATATTTTATACACAACACCTGTCGATAATGATGACAATTCAAATATTTTGATTTTACAATGTGAAAAAACTGCCGTTGAATCTAATGGTTACAATAATACTTTAAACTTGGATGCAGATATATTACTTGAAAACCAATCTACAATGATAGAAAATGTTAACAGCGAATTTCATGATTGCAACCAAACTACAACGATAGAAAGTGTTCCATCCATATCTGATGTACTATTAACCACCAAAGAACTAACTAGGAAAAAAAGGCGATACGAAGAAAATTGGGAAAAGGTTAAAAATAAAAAACAAAAAAATTCAGGCCAAGCTTATACTGGTAGTAATACGAAAAAAAAGTTTGATTCTAAAACGATGAAGGATGCCTGTAAATGTAATAAAAAATGCTGTAACAGATTCCTCAGGTCTCTCGGCAGGCTATATTCGAGGAATTTTGGAAACTTAGTGATCACGAGGATCAGTGGCACTATATCTTACGACATATAAATACTAAAGATATTAAAAAAATGCAACTAATTAGAACAAAAAACAGGACACAAACTATTAGCTATTTTTTCAAGATAAATGGAACAGAATCAATTAACGTTTGCAAAAATTTTTTTTTGAATACTCTTAGTATTAGCGAAAAAACAGTTTACACAGCAATAGAGAAAGGGAAAACTGAAGAAGTCAAAGATAACAGGGGTCAGCATGAAAATAGACCACGGAAAATGAGTGTTTCAACCGAGCAAAGTGTTATTGCACATATAAAACAATTTCCAGTTAAAGAATCACATTATGTCCGAAGAGATTCTAAGAAGTTATACTTAGAAGAAACACTGAACATTTCTAAAATGTACAGGCTGTATTCTGATGAATGGTTTAAGAGTGCAAATCATCCAAATGATGTAAAGATGGCCACCAAACGACAGTATGAAACTGTATTTAATACAAAATTCAATTATTCTTTTCACAAACCTAAAAAAGATATGTGCGGCCAATGTACATTATATCGTCAAGCTGATGGTGAAAGGAAAGATCAACTTCAAGAAGTTTACACAAAGCACATTAGAAACAAGGAATGTGTTCGTGAACTCAAAACTAAAGATAAAATAGAAGTCGATTCTACAACTACTGTCGTCGCTATTTATGATCTGGAAAAAGTTCTGACGATTCCTCAATCAGAGGTAGGAATCTTTCATTATAAGCGAAAGTATCCTATATATAACTTTACAATTTACAACTCATTAAGTGGACGAGGTTACTGCTATCTTTGGCACTATCAAGTGGCCAAAAGAGGTGCTAATGAAATCGGCAGTTGCGTCCTAAATTTCATTGAAACTGAGAGCCAACGTGGCATCAAAAATTTTATATTTTATTCTGATGGTTGTGCTGGGCAGAATAAAAATAGGATTATCTTTGCTCTTTATTTATATTTGTGTAAAAAGTATGGAGTTAACATAATACATAGGTACTTTGAAACTGGCCATAGCCAGTCTGAAGGAGATTCGATGCATTCTCTTATCGAACGTGCAAAAAAGAACCACACGATTTATACTCCTGAGCAAATGTATGGCTTAATCATGAATGCCAAGATCAATGGTGAAAAATTTCATCTTAAGGAAATGGAACAACATAATTTCTTCGATTTAAAGGAGATAATGGACAGAAGACACTGGTTGCGGACAGATCAAACAAGTGAAAAAGTTATGTGGACCAAGATTCACGAAATCATGATTAATCGAGCGCATCCAGATGTTATTTATTTAAAGTATAATTTTGATGATGAATATATTTCTTTAAATACTGCTCCAAACTCCAGATCTTCAAGAGGAAGACCCAAAAAGACACTAGTGACTGATGTTTCAGGAGATGAACTGAGAAATCTGTACAGAGAGCCAATCGCTTTACCAAAACCACTTTACGATGATTTGATGAGTCTCTGCAAATCTGTAGCAATTCCGAAATATTATCATAATTTTTATAACAATTTACATTGTGTTGAGAACTCTGAAGAAGTTATCGATGATATTGAAAGCGACGATTCAAATTAAAGTAGCATAATATTATTTTTTCTTTTTAAGGTTTTGACCATTTTATTTTTGTTTCCAAAGTATAATAACAGCTAATTAAAATTATGTGATTTTATTCAAATAAACGTAAAATAGTATTTTTCTAAGTGTTTTTTGTTTAATTACAAAGTTTATTATTTAATAAAAAATCAGATTTTATTCAAATCAAGGTAGCATAGTATTTTATTCTTTTTTACGTGTTTTTGTGTTTTTTTTCCAAAGTTTAATATTTTAATAAGAAAAAATTTTGATTTAAAAGGTTTTTTTTAAACAAAGTCATTATCATTAAAAGTATAATTAAACAAAATAAGTTAGTTCATTGTAACACTAAAAAAATATATAAAATACTAACTAAAATGGTTCAAAATAAAAATAAATCACATTGTAAAGTCTATCTGTTACAATGGTTACATAAAAATATTATCCATTGATAGGATTCTAAAATAGCGATTAGTAGATGATACAGCTTAGCTTTGGCTTTAAACTTTCCCTGAAGAAGGTGGTAATCGACTGGTACGTTCGAGATCTAAAGTGGAAAACACGTCGTATTATATTCTTACAGTCCTGAATCTCAGTGGTCGGTATGTTTATAAAGTCGTAAACGATTTTGCGTTTCAGACAATATCGTCTATAATTTGTATTATACATTTTTTCAATTATTTTATTATATATTTATACCATTACAATTATTTTTAAAAGGTTAACTTGGTAAAAAAATTAGCTTTCATTTGACATTTTGAACGCCTGTTTTGGATCACTGTACGCTGCACTATAAACAAAATAGCTTCTTTTATTTCTCCTGTAAAAATCGATTTTTGATATTACCGCTTTATTGCCCGGGGCCAGCGATATATATATATGTATATATATATATATATATGTATATATATATATATATGTATATATATATATATATATATATATATATATGTCGTTTTATTAACTTTAAAATTTGAAATAAAATTAAATTTATATTTTTCTTGTATTCTACTCAATCGTTGGAACCATCTCCTGAGCTCTATATATATATATATATATATACATACATACATCTATAATGTCGTTTTATTAACAACATACATTTTACAAATTTCACACTAGAAATTGACCTAAATGAATCTTAAAAAATCAAGTTTCGTGTTTTACATTATTTTGTTTAACTTGAAATTGTCAGCGAAGAATATTTCACATATATATACAAATTTCACACTAGAAATTGACCTAAATGAATATTAACGGGTGAAGTCCCCGTGGTTGTACACGCCTTGTGTGCCAATCTCGCGGGAGGATCGCAGTACCCTCATGAGGATTGATGAATCAATCCGCATGAACGTACTGCGCTCCTCCCTCGAAATTGACACCCAAGGTGTGTACTACCAGGGAGACTCCTCCAAGTTCCGTGTTTTACATTATTTTGTTTAACTTGAAATTGTCACAGAAAATCACTCTTTATTTTAAAGTCTAGTAACGAGAACTACAACTTCGTGTTTTTATTTTTTTAATACAGCGAAGAATACTATTTCATTTGTCTTTAAAAGATATAAGGTCATGATTATAATATATGAAAAAAAGAATGCTCTCAAAATCCATGTAAAACGCCCGAGTTACTGCTGATCCAGACGACCGCTCGCCGTACTTAGTAAGAATTCAGTAGGTTAACTTTATTTCGATCTTCTATCTCTGGTCAATTCAAAACGCCCGCAGTTACTGCTGATCCAGATGACCGCTCACCGTACTTAGTAAGACTTCAGTAGGTTAACTTTATTTCGATCTTCTATTCTTCTATCTCTGGTCAATTCAAAACGCCCGCAGTTACTGCTGATCCAGACGACCGCTCGCCGTACTTAGTAAGACTTCAGTAGGTTAACTTTATTTCGATCTTCTATCTCTGGTCAATTCAAAACGCCCGCAGTTACTGCTGATCCAGATGACCGCTCGCCGTACTTAGTAAGACTTCAGTAGGTTAACTTTATTTCGATCTTCTATCTCTGGTCAATTCACAACGCCCGCAGTTACTGCTGATCCAGACGACCGCTCGCCGTACTTAGTACGACTTCAGTAGGTTAACTATATTTCGATCTCCTATCTCTGGTGAATTCACAACGCCCGCAGTTACTGCTGATCCAGACGACCGCTCGCCGTACTTAGTACGACTTCAGTAGGTTAACTTTATTACGATCTTCTATCTCTGGTCAATTCACAACGCCCGCAGTTACTGCTGATCCAGACGACCGCTCGCCGTACTTAGTACGACTTCAGTAGGTTAACTTTATTTCGATCTTCTATCTCTGGTCAATTCACAACGCCCGCAGTTACTGCTGATCCAGACGACCGCTCGCCGTACTTAGTACGACTTCAGTAGGTTAACTTTATTTCGATCTTCTATCTTCATGTAGAAGTCCAACATGTTGGTTGATTTCCCCTTATTAGGCTGGCCGGTAATCGACACGAAGAAGAAGAAGATGGAGAAGAACCCTTGCCAGGAACCCTTGTCAGGAATAGTGATGTGATGTCTGTCTGTCGGTCAACTGATGTCTGTCTGTCAGTCAAGTCAAGTGTAGTCTGTCTGTTACGTCGAAGGGGGCTTATGGTAGGCCTTGAAGCAGCCTACAATGCAAAGGTTGACGTCACACTCCTCACACTTGTAGGCAGTTCTGGCAACCTTTTTATTATTATGGCACATCCAGCAGCGCGTGTATTTAGAGCCAGTGGCCATTGGAAAATGGTTCCCTTCGACGTAAGGTCGAGTCCGTCTTTGTATGACCGTCATTGTCGTCGTCGCTGACACTGTCGTCGTCATCGTCGCTGTCGCTGTCGTCGTCATCGTCGCTGTCGCTGTCGTCGTCATCGTCGCTGTCGCTGTCGTCGTCGTCGTCGCTGTCGTCGTCGTCGTCACTCTTGTCTGTCGACGTAATTGTGGAAAAAGTCGCGGCTCCAAAGTCAGGTCAATTTGTCGGTGTCTTTTCAGTAATTCCTCACATAAAATTGTCCTAAAGTGTCGATGTCGTAAGTTGTGGGTGTGGTCACTGGTAAAAATTACAAAGCAGTTAAAAATAGCTGCATTGAATAGCCGACGAAACAGCTTTTTGTACCACACCTTGTTTCTGTGCCTTTCGAGAGGTTAACCAGCAAGGAATTGGTCCTTCCGATCCACCCCCCCCCCCATAGACTTATTATAGTCCAGCACAATGGCTGGTTTGTAAGTCAGTCGGTCATGTCTGTCTCTTGTTCCAATCTGGAGGGGATGATATGTGGAAATCATGCTAACGAAGTTAGCATCACGCCACAACATCACCGCCAGATCGGAACAGTAAGTCACCACTACTTCACCCTGTCGCATGTTAGTTTTCGGTAAAGTCTTAATAGACTCGGGAACGAATTCCCGAGTAAGTCTTAAAGTCCCGTATACGTCCGTCCGTCCGTCACGTTTGAGGCAGCGCGCTAATAATGGACTATTATAAAAATTGTCCATTATTAGTGTGTGCCCCTTGTGAAGCAGTGGTTCAATTAAGTCATACACTATTTTGGCAGTAGCGTTGCTCGGACGAACAACGCGACTGCCGTCGATGCGGTCATGGTCGGTCTCGTCCTGACTATTATCAGGTCTGTCGTCTGCGTCGTTAGTCCTCTCTTCCTGGTCGTCAGGTCTGTCGGGTCTTGTCCTGTCAGTCCTGTTAGGTCCGTCTTTTCCAGTATATACAAAAAACCGCCAGAGATAGCCAGTCGAAGACTCGCACAACTCGTAGGTCTTAACCCCGACTTGTGCAGCCTTTGAGCTGATTTTTTGCGCGAAGCTTAAGCGCCCGTGCCACTTAAGCAGCGACTCGTCGATGGCTATCTCTTGGGCTGGTTTGTATAAACTGGAAAATTTGTCATTAAGGTAGTCAAGGACTGGTCGCACTTTGTTAAGTTTAGTCATGTCCGTCGTTGTCTCATTGTCGATGAAATGCTGGAAAGTTTTGAGCAAATGATACCTGTTGTAGGACATTATACGCCCAAAGTAAGGAGTCGTCCCAAACCCATCAAATGAGAAATAGGACTCCTCCTTTACTTTAGGATATAATCCCTGTAACATCATTATTGCCAAAAATGCCAGCATTTCGTCACGGTCAGTCGGCTTCCAACGCAGAGAGCGTGCCATAGTCTTAGTCGCGTCCTGTCTAGCTGCTGATACTTTCTGGTCGACGTATCTGTTCGTTTCAGTCACCATCAAGTCTATGAAGTCTGTGTCGAACATTTCATAAAAAATATCGACCGGTCGAGTCGTGTCGGTTATGGGGAAAGTGGGTCCTGGAATACCAGAAAATACCTCTCTTTCCCCAGTCAAAAGTCTGTCTGTCTAAGGTCCAGTTAAATTCGTAATAGTCGTCGGAAGAAGCCAACTCCCGAACGTGGTGGTCGCTGGTTTCTTCCTCTACCCGTAAAGTCTCAGTCTCAGTAACAGTCAGTCCCGTATTGTCCGCTGGTTGGTCGGTTGCGGTCCGTGGTGGCGCAGTCGTGAAAGAGATGCCGTCGTCGAAGTAATCAAAGTCAAGGTCATCATCGTCACTGTCTTGCGTCTCAAGTTGGTGAAGCCAGTCAGTCACAGTCGAGTCAAAGTTAGGGTCGTTGACATCTGAAAAAAGGAAAAAGAAACACCCAATAATAACACAAACTTATAACACCACCTCCTCCGTCCGTGGTTAATATATGATGTCTCAAACTCAATGTGGATTTAAATAAAGTATACTTACGGATCACATTCTGGCTTGGCCGAGCAGCAGCTGGCGAGCTTGCCGCATCAATTAACTCTGTAAAAAAATAAAGATTTTACAAAACGGAGTCAACATTTTCAATGATATGTAATGTATTTGATTTGGGTTGTGTATTTTTACTTGCAGTTTATGTTTAGGGCATAACACTTACCAATAATTACTTCAGAAGCCGGCTCAGGCACGAGCTCGGGTTCAAGCATGAGCTCGGGTTCAGGTTCATTCAAGGGC